ATATGTGGTTCGCAGTTATTGTCAATAACCAATTACAAATAATTCTCCTCCATTATTATTATTGACTAAAACAATTATTTGTTCATTTTTTTCAGGTAGAATTCTGTTTCACTCTGAACGTAAAACTCTAAATTACTCCTGTTCACTACCGTCGTTTATGGAGATTTTTCAAATGCCATTCGCGATAACTTTCAAGAATACCATTTCTTATTCAATGAATGATTTTCAAGGGTCTCTGAACTATCCACATGAAACACTGCTATCGAGCGGTCTCGTCAATAAAGTAATCCCGGCAGACTTGTCATTTGGCCAACACATATACTTCCAAATGACATTGTTTTAGCCAATGAGCGTTTCCCAAAACCTCATTGGTAGTTAAATCCACCAATCGTAAATGAGGGATTTAATTGAAGGTTTTGTGGACCATGGGAGCAAACACGATTTCTCACAGAACAGATAGCAGTTTACGGAGTTATTGTTCTCATATGCACTGTGCTTCCCTCGGACCTCGTTCTTAACTGCATCTAGTTCAAATTATGAACTGATTCAATTTACAATACATGGTGACGAAGCAGTGATTCGCTTCAAACATGTTGTTGGCCCACATACAAGTAAAGCTTTTGGCAACATTGTTAACAGTTGTGTTCTGTAAAGAACAATCCACAGATGTAAATAATCAACTCCAGTTGACTATATTCATGGAAGAAGAGCTACCTCGAGCATCGGCTGTGGTAAACCTGTCATCCATGGTCAAACAGAATATTCCCAACTCTTCGCAGTATTTCACCCTTGTTCAGGAAACCGAATTGCGTTTCTCTTTCCTGGAACCGAACTCCCACTTTGTTATTGACCATGCGAATCCCAGTGCCCAAATACTCCGCGTACAAACTCGTGTGGATCGTGAATCAGTATGTCCCACTCTAGTCGGTGTATGCACAAACCGGTTCCTGGGGACAGTCACAGACCATTCTCCATTACCATACGAGATTTCGCACACCCAGCACGTGGCTACCGCATGTATGCTTCCTGTGTTGCTGATCGCGGAGTTCAACGCACGGAATTCGGCGTCTCAACCAGTCTCACAACTGATTGTACAACTTAATATACATATTTTGGATATCAATGACAATGCGCCTAGCTGGCGATCATTTTCTTCTTCAATGGTCAATATGCAACAGTTGAATAGCACCCACCCGATCGCGTACAATGCGATGAACGCACCGAACCCTGGGTTGATCCCGAGGATGGACTTGGTCGTGGCCGAGCATATTGCAATCGGAACTAGGTTAGCTTTGCCGCTTGCAATCGACCCAGACGCTTGTCCGGATAATACAACCGCTGGGTATGGAATCGAATCGCAAACTGTGTCGGATGCATTTGTTCTCGACTGGGATCAGGCTGCTCGGGATGGGACGAAAATCACGGAGTCCGGACTATGGCTACGTGTGAACAAAGATTTGAATCATGACACTCAACCCCATCATCAAGTGATTATTTATGCAACAGATGCTGGTGTCCCCAGACGGCTGACGGGTCACTTGCTACTGAATATTTCCGTCACTGATGTTAATGATCACCCACCGAAATTCAATCGATCTCGTCATTTGGTTTGGGTTCGAGAGCATGAAATGATCGGAAGTAAAGTCTTTCAGCCTCAGGTGCACGATGCCGATTCGAGTGATCAGTCTCGTTTGAGCTTTGGATTTCTCCCATCCACCGTGGCAAGTACACGGGAGCTGTTCAAAATCAATCCCCAGACCGGAGAGATCACTGTTCAGGGATTGATTGATTTCGAAAAGTCATTTCAGCATCAATTGCACATTTTTGTTTCAGACGGCAAATGGACAGATGAAATGGAGCTACAGGTTTTAGTTCTTAATCTAAATGATCACGCACCACAAATCAAGCTTTATTCCCATTTGGCTTCTGTTCCCAAAGATATGAATGTATTTCACAGCGGAAACCGGAACTACTTGCAGGCCCAACTGACTATTGTCATTCGAGAGAATGGACCACCTAATCAGTTAATTGCAACTGCCACAGTGACTGACAAAGATGTTAGCGCACAGATTCGAGCAGAGGCTGCGTTCGAGAGCCACGAAGCAGACTCTGGTGCAAGCGGTGAACGACAGGGTGGAATGTTCACCTCGCCTCTGGTTCGTAAGTCACAAACACTAAAACCGATATGCAATGTGGACAATGACCAATTTGTGATGGAATCGTTGGATCTGGAAACCACGCAACAACAATCACGTGAGAGATTTCGATTTAAAATAGCCCTGGCTGGAAAATCGTTGGATCGTGAGAAACAGAATCGAATTCTTTTGCAAGTACACTGTCATGATGAGGACACAATGCCCCCAATGCATCAGTTCCCGCATTATTCGCCCTCCAGTTCACTTCATCAATCAGGTCTTTATATGCCGATTGGACGTCGATCGGCGTCCGCTTCTCTACTAATCGTTGTCACTGATGAAAATGACTCTCCACCGATTCTAGTCGGTCCACAGGTTGCCAAATTACCTGAGAACGCACCGATTGACACCTTAGTGATGCGAATCCATGCCACAGACGCAGATGATCCACATAGTTTGGCTGGAACCGCAGGTTTGCGTTACCATTTAACCGATGAACCTTTGATTCTCCTGACCAAAAGTGCAACTCCCCTTTCCGTGGGAAGTAAACTGAGCGAACTCATCGCAAGCTCGACAGTTTCCTCAGATCAATTTCCATCCCAACCTTGGTTCCACTTGAACCCGGTTAATGGGGATCTAAAAACTTTGGTTAGCTTTGACAGAGAACTTGTTCAGTCGATCACACTTCCCATCCGCGTGAACGACGGGGGAGATCTGAATATTCTGGGTAAAACCACTGTGGATCCCTCGGAACGCATGATGAACAAGGACCGCCTTTCATACAATACTGTGAACGGGACTGTGACTATCGAGATTCTGGATGTAAACGACTGTCTGCCCACATTCAGCCAACAACTGTACGAGTTCAATTTAAGCGAAGATTCGCGACCGCCAGTTCGCGTTGGACGAGTGAACGTAACGGACTGTGATGTGGACGAGAACAATAGGTTACTGGAATTTTGGCTGCAATCTAGTATGCCAAACAGGCGACCGGACATTTCGGCAACCGAAGGCATTCTAGGCTCAAAACAGCTAAACAAGAATTCACAGTTTATTTCGTGGTTTTCAGTGTCCAAAACCGGTGAATTGTATGTTCGCATGCCTCATTTTACCCAAACCGGTATGGTCACATCCCAGGGTCTTCCTCCAGATGATTACATTCCACTAGACCGAGAAAAAAACGAGATTATTGTGCTGGATATTTTTGCTCGAGACTCCGGTAGTCCGGCACTAACCGGGTCTGCTCAAATATTGATTCGTGTGTTGGATGTCAATGATCACGCACCCGAATGGGAATTTCCCCGGCCACAGCATCGTCTGGTTAACTTTTCCGCGGACGCAGCAGTTGGAAACAGAGTGACGAGGGTAGGTTATTCATCAGGTGTATTTTTGCACGGATTGTTTTCAAAGTAGACGTAAAACATGCTTAGATAACTTCGCACTCATTACTGTTTCTGGTTAATGTAACAAAACAGCTTAAGTGGAATCTAAGTGTGTAGTGCTCCGGGTTAACCTAAACAACTCGTTACGATTCATACAATGTCATCTTACGGTAGCGGGTGAGTCGCTCAATCACTGCTTTGCACATTAATTTCCGGTAGTGATACACCATCTGTATCGTATTCAACTAAATTCATGAGAACCGCAGAGAGGCACTTCTGTATGCATGATCAAACCGTTATACTCTGTTGATGTTCATATGGTAACCGACCAAAGACCACCAGGAGCACGGGTCCTACGCTAGACAAATTATGTACAATGCGGTCAAAATAAAAACTGTATGAATTCAGCCTAATGGTAGTAACAAGAAAAATCCGAACTGACAAGGAACGGGATAAATTTTTTTCGGACAAAAAACAAAGACAAACAGAAATAATGATCTCTTTATGATTTTTGCTCGGCCTATTAATTTCAGCATAATTTCATCTCCCTCAACCGATTACCCCAGTCTTTCCTGCGTTGGTTTCGATTGTTTTCCTCACTCCACGTAGGGTTTCTCCCAGAAAAAAGTCAAACAAGGTCGGGATAGAGCGGAATCTAAATGAAAGTAGAGAATGCAGTGAAAACAATCGTAAGCAGAAAGCGGGCGTGTGTGTCGGGTCACTCGGCACCTGACTTCCTCTGCGATAAAACTGGTCGTGGTTCCCAATCGTGTAAAAGGGAGCATATTTAATGTGTACTTGAACCATCCTTGAAGCATATTCTTGCTTCAAGACACGAGGTCACAAAAACACTATTTTTTGTTAGGTTTTTTCTTTTGCTGTTTTTGGGAGTTTGTTGTCATTCACTTCAAGGGATAACGTTTATTTATGAAGGAAGGTGGTGAGATGTGTGCCTACAAAATATTTTCCCTCAGCGATAATTAAATCTAGATTTATTTTTTCCTGTGCACTGAAGCTCCTATCACCATGCTAGACATATGATTATCAATAATCTTAGCACAAGCCTGAATATGCTAACTACATTGGCCCGCTGACTTCACACAACCTCATGTACACTAGGATGTCTGTATGATCAGTGTTATCTTGTGGTCCAGAGATAAAGGTTCCAGGAACAATATCATTCGTCCACAGTGCTGGTTAATCAGTAAAAATAGAATTTAATTTACCCCGCTCTCCACCAGTTTTCACAAGCAAGTAATAAACATAATAACTGTTACTATTTGAAATCAGTTTTTTAACATTCGTCTCTGCATCTCTGTATCTGGTACAGAGCGTATGTGACTTACTTAAAAGAGTAAACAAAGCATCAACTACGTAGGAGTGAAACTGTGTTCATTTTCAAAGAGTTGTTTAATTTGGGTGGCAAAATGTTTGCTGCACTAGAGGAAAGTTGTTTGACATATGAGCTGGAATAGAGTGATTGAGTTATGAAATTTGCCTATTGACATAATGAAATACTCCTAATAATGATCAACCCCGGTCCCGCAAGATTTTACCTGAATACGGAAAAATAAATCACGATATTATGCTTGGTTTTGATAAGATTGAATGGTCAAGCACATTGCAAATGGGGATTTATTTCACTAAATCCCTAAAAGATATTTTTGTTTCTGTTTGTTGAATATTGCTTGGTAGCATATTCTGCCTGATTGGTTGACAACCATTCTGTGCTATGTTTGAGCTAAAGAATCGCAAAGAACAATGGAACAGAGACAAGCTTCTACTGAAAAATGAGGTAATTGATCTTCAAAAAGCAATCAGTTTTATATTGTAAGATACCACTAAATGTTTTACAAACTCCAGATCACAAGTAATGTGCAAGGTTATCGATAGTTGATCACTTTCAATTCCCATAACACTTTGTACCATAATTGTCTGTAAAATACTTCGGATGGTGCAGTAATTACAAACATGTTGTTAAATCTTGAGCTGTACAGTTTGCAACTGTATAATTGGCATATGAGAAACCGAAGTGAGCAAACTAAAGTGCAAAAATTTGTTTGAAACTCTGTTGGTGGTCGGTTAATTTGACAAGCGTCCAAGCCAACCGCTTTGCCACACTGCGTTCGGGAACTCGTCAAGTTAAATACTAAAGTGTCCAAACGCCAGAGTAGGTCAGCAGCAAAGCGTCAATGGTATCCAGTTTTTGATATGTAATTTCACAATCTTGCTTTCCCGAAAAGCATGTTCAGCTACTTCACTACGAAAGGGAAAGGTGATTCTGAAACTGAGCGTTACCATTTCTTGCTTTCAATAATTTGGGTTCAATTGCAAACAAGTAACTCGACTCTACCTCACCATTTTAGTTAACCTAAAGTGACCATCCATCTCAAAAGGTTCGTTCTTTTAAGTTGCACTGTCATGACGATGGGTGAAAGAAGTTCGCGCTGATAGGCACAAGAAGTATATGAAACAAATCAGCTACCGGAGAATCTGGTGAAAATAATACCCTAGAATTATTAAAGCATAGGATATATATATAAAATGATTCAACTTGAATAGGAATCCCCCAAAGTTGTAAAAAGGTAAACATTAGCATACTGCTGAGCAGGAACAAATCACGTCTTCATTCGATTGCACCAGGAAGAAACAAAACAGTGTTATACAGTTCACTGTCTTTAGTGAAATTACTAGTCACTGACCTCATGAATGTTTCTATTGTTTCTGTTTGTAGTTAAAATTTTATTTCAAACGGTGTTTTTGTGCTCCGATTAAACGCTTTCGAATGTCACACTTCCAGAATCACTCATAAATCATCTGAGATATGAGCATCCGTCGGTTTGATATGCCCTTGTGAAAATGCGCTCTTTACCTAAGTTTCTAAGTTTCTACTGCCAACGGATAATTGAGGCCTACGCCAAACGATAAAACCTATCAAATATGGTTTAATTTCACCACAGAGGCAAAATTGTGCTTGGACCCTATAATGCTGCTTACTAATGCAATAAAAGGCAATTACATAAATTTGTTGCATTCAAACATCGCGATTACTCGCCTGCAGACTAGAAGATTCGGGGCCCCAGTTGCAGCAACCGGACAGTAACTATACACAGCTCCGCAAAGGCCAAACAATAATGACCCAATTATACCTCTCTCTCTTCTTCCCCTACTACAGCCGATAGTAAGAATTCACAGGAGAATTAGTTTCGAAAAACAATGTTTCAAAATGTGTTTTATACCCGTCGGTTCAACGTATACTCAACGTGATAACTCCATTTGACAATACTGTTTTGAAATGGGAATTCGTCGTGTATATGACAAATAAAGCGTGAACTGGAAAGCTAGGAAGCACTGTACAGCTGTTTCCACCTAGTTGGTCTCATCAGCAGGGCGAATCCAACGACCCAACTGGGGATCAAACCCGGGACTTCATGGGCAGAACGCAAGCATGCTACCCACTACGCCACCGGGCAGCTGATCACACAGTTTTCCATTTGCACGATATAACACAATCCATCTTTGCGAGCTTTACAGTTCACACTTCATTTGCCACATACACGACGAATTCCCATTTAAAATGTAATCAAATTCTCCGTTACTCACATGAAATACCGGTTTGGTCTAACAGCTACTTTAGTTTTCTGCTAACGGACGTTCAAAAATTCCTCATTGACGCCGGGATAGGTCTCAAAAATTGACTAAAAATTCATGTACATCAGTTTTTGAAAGGAGTCTTCGAATTCTAACTCTAACTGTCTGCTTGTTGGGGAACTGAGCAGAATAAATCCGTGTTTTGGCAGAAAGTGAAAATCGTTTTTCCCTCCCACAACATGATAATGGAACTACCGAACATAATTATTTTTCTCAAGCAATTCATCTTAACTTATTTCTTTGGAATGAAGCTGTTGAAAATAAATCGGGGCAACCTCGACTGGAAGCCACATTTTGGTTGACAAAGACGAAATAAGAGGTAAAATACCAATTTATCTTCCGTCTCTAAAGGGGCCTGCGGAAAATCTGACTTTGCTTATTCCCTCATCCCTCCACCGATCAAATAATTTTGTAATGCGATCATACGAGATCAAACCGGACAATTGGTGAAAATCTTTCTGAAACTGTGCACAATCATTTGTGTCGATCTAAAAAAAAGAGTATCTACGTATCTCGCACCCAAAACCGACACCTTCAGTGCAAAATAATCTCACATTCAGGAGAAATGAGGAGGATTTATGGAATGTATTGTAGGACAGCAAATGTGGGACTGATCAGGGTCAAGTGTATATAGTTAGATACACTTAGTCTTTGGGATATGTGATGTAGCCGGATTTCCTAACCCGCACCCATTAACCAAGGTGACCTCGGGAAAATGCATCCGTCAATAACAAGAACAACAACCTGGGGAGCATAGAGCAGCTATAGTTGCCGATTCACACCTCTTTTCGTGATAATATTGAGACAAAATGAACAAATGATACGTTTCTTTGTTGGTTAGGGTTGTATTACATTGTTCAGGTCGCGAAGCGCTCACTAATCGGATTAATAATTGGAGCGCAAATGAATGAACACAGTTGCTCTCATCACATTAATGACTTGATCGGAGTGCTTCCGGGACATAATTAACTCCACTTATTGGTCATGTAATATGAAAATTCCACTGTAGAAACCAAATGACTCTACGATCACTGCAAATCCATCACTCACGAAATCTGAAAATGCCAGAAGTGCTGAAGACAAAACAAAGAACCTCTGTGTATGGCAATTTATTTGCCCCCAAAAACATATGTTGCATCAAGTAGTAGAATGGCACAATTAATTAACTGACTATTTTCCAGACAGAATAAGAAGCTCAATCTTGATTTATCGTTCAATGACATGATTTCCTTGAGAGAAGTTGCCATTCAGAAAAGAGACATTCAGAACAGTTGTGTCTAAATTTAATTTGAATATCCTTTTCATACGAAACTGTGTATTATCTGTTTATAC